TTATTATCTCTTCAGTGTGCAGGGTTTATCACTAAAGCAAGGTTTGACAAGAAACACTCCTGGGGCTTCTGTGTACCTTAGTGAATCCAAAGCATTTTTCCCTCCAGTCTGGATATAGCCCAGAGCAAAATGAGAACAGATCTTATTAGCAGCTTAGGACTGGGACCGCAGTGTGGGGATGAGAGGAAGCAGCTATGACATTACATGCTAGTTATTCTTCATTAGCGATACTGCTGCTGCTAATGTTTCACCAGAAGAACAGAACAGGTTTCTGGGTTGCAGATACTGAGATTGGTCCTGCCCCTATTGAAATGGGCCCATCAAAACATATCCTTTCTCGAGCCTCTGAATGATCCACCAGGGAAGTTATAGATCTCTGCAGGGAGGGTGTATGAGTATGGAATGATGCTTGGACCAATACAAATTTGAACCCTAGACAACATCTGAGTGTGCACTCTTCTCAATTAATTTCATTCTTTCTAACTCAGGTTAGATTTTTGACAACAGCATCTGATCATTTTCAACGTGTTCTTTGAAATCTAGAATGACACAAAGGACTGGCATACCAAAAGAAAGACTTTTGGTGGTGGCAAAAAACAACTGCTACTGGCAGATAGGACAGAGAGGTCATTCCTGGCTGGGCTGGCTGAATGGGCCACGCCTGGGTGGGATGTCAGTGGTGGGAAGGTGGGGGACAAAGATGGACCCAAAAGTCCTTCTGTGAGGACCAAGTTTCCAGGTCACAGTGGGCTCCAAACCCCTTACCCAGAATAGAGTAAATGCAAAAGTTCCTTTCTGAGAAATTTCATTCTATGTGACAGTTTCCATTCTATGTGGCAATTTCTCTGTGCTTCTAAAAAAATTCCATTCTTCTCTGTGCTTCCTCCTCTTTTAGGGAAACTCCACCCTGCTTCTGTTCCTCTTTTTAAAATGCTAAGACAAGCTTCCTTTTGTGTGATCTAATCAATATAGGAATTAATTATAGTGGATATAGATAGTTATATATCTTAGTTAGCAAAAGTCAGAAAAGAGGAATTAATTGTCTAATGAAAAGAGGGATTAATTCTCTAAAGGCCTTAGGTAACTTTCCAATACGTACCCTCCCAGCACCCCATAATAAATTTGCAAATGTAAGCATTAGGTCATGTTCCAATGTGCCCTCCCGATGCCCCTTGATGATAAGGGAAAACTAAAAATAGTAACAGAAAAATCCTATATAAACTTGGTTCAAAGTTGGATCTGGGCTCTCAGTCTGAAGCCGCTGTGACGGTGACACCCGAGAGTCCAAGCTCGACCTTGCAATAAACTCCTCTTGCAATTGTATCGGACATGACTCCTTGGTGGTCTTTGGGGACTTTGTGACTTGGGCACAACACTTCCAGCTTAGGGGAAAAAAGCCAGGGAAAGCAAGGGAAAACCATTTCCCAACACAGTGAGCAAGAACTATTTTGTTTACTTTAAAGCTGGGGAAATAAAAGTTCAAAATAGTTAGTTAAATCAGGGCTATATGATAGAACCTTGATCCTCAAAATTTAAAGGCTTTTTTTTCCCCAAAAAAACTGCAAACAAGCAGCTTATCCAGCTGTACATTGTGATTTTCTTTTTTTTTAACACAAGTTCTCATGGAGTAACCCAGGCTGGCCTTGAACTCATAATCTTCCTGCCTCTGTTTCCCAGGTGCTAGGATTCCACACACAGGCTAGCCTGCTATAATCT